TGGATGGATGGATGGATGGATGGATGGATGGATGGATGGATGGATGGATGGATGGATGGATAGATAGATAGATAGATAGCAATAGCAGTTAGACTTATATACCGCTTCATAGGGCTTTCAGCCCTCTCTAAGCGGTTTTACAGAGTCAGCATATTGCCCCCAACAATCCAGGTCCTCATTTTACCCACCTCGGAAGATAGCAGTCAGCTGAAGTAGCCTGCAGTGCTGCATTTAACCACTGCAGAGCCACCTCGGCTCAGAATTAGAGGAAATGGAAGACATTTTCTAACATCTTCAATGTAGCTCAGTCTGGAAGAATTTTAAGGAGGTTATATCTTAGAATCCCTGGTCTGTTTTGAGTGCCATTTTAAGAATTGTACAGGAGCATTTGCGTAGAATTAGGACTGGTAAACCAAGAATGCAGAGTACCATCCCTATCTCTCCATTACTGAAGAACATGTCATATCTCCCATCGTTCCAGAGGAAGTAAAATTTGCTGCCCACTTACCCCATGGAGAGATGTTTGATGAGCTAATACAGAAAAAAGTCCAAGAGCTTTGGAAAACGATGACCAAGGAAGTGGAAGGGCTCCAGAATTCCATGGTCCAGAAACAAAGTTCAGTGGAGAATCTATCTCAAGATGTCCTTGAGAGGTAGGAGAAAGCTGAGTGGGCAGAAAAAGAAATGAGCTCTTTCTTGTGGATTTTGGATAGGTAGAAAAATGGCTAAGATAGACTTCTGTCTCTACAATTTTTACTATAATTGTCTTTCCACTCCTCTTGTGACTGAAGAAGTCTCGGGTAATAAACTGGTGTAGAAGCCAAAGGCTAGAGGACAATAATAGTGAGTTTTTATGTTTTTGCTTAATAACAATAATCTTAGGATTTGAATTTCCAGGGCTATATTGTAAAGCTTCCTGTCCTGTTTCTTCTTCCCCTGGCAGCAAAAAATTCCTTTGGGAAGAGTTGGAATCAGTTCAGGCTGAACTGCGGCGCATCCATCAAAAACTGAGTAAGTAGCTACTAGTTTTATTTCCTTGCAATATTTTGTTCATACTCACTTCCAACATGCGGTTCTTTTCTACCTGTATTTGCCCATTTATCATACGTTCAGTATTGTCATGGCTCTCCAAATCTTCTGAATTTTTCTCTGCAATAGACTCTTAACCACCATCCCGTCAATTTGAAGGCAAATTCAACTTCCTTTGTAAAAAGACAATATCTCCTTCAAATTGGAGAACTCTGAAGATGTCAGAATTCCAGATGCCCAAACTAGCTTAGAGCTCTAACCTTACCTGGAAAACTTCCACTTGAATACTAAGCAAGTTCAAATTTGATCAATTTTTGAGTCAGGTCAATATTAGCCTCCTGAGTTTCTATCTTGATCATTTAACTCTCATTGAAGCACAGAGAAATGTGTGTGTGTGTGTGTGGGTGTGTGTCCCCAGTCAGCTAGGGCTGGACACGTTCTATATGCATCCATGCTATTGTCAGCATTTAGCTCAATTTTTCTTCCTCCTGCTGAAAAGGTTGTTCACCAACCCTGGAAATTTGCAAGATTCACTTTGTACCTACTTACAGACAAAGACTTAAAGCCACAAAACCAATAATTAAATCAGTGAGGACTTGGACCGAGGAGGCAAAGCTAAAGCTACAGTTGAAAGTTATTAAAGTTGAAAGTTGAAAAGTTGACTACACTCGCTGGAATATTTTTGAAGAAACACTCGCTGGAATATTTTTGAAGAAACCTTTGCAGATCTGGATGAACTGTTCATATGTCAGCTTCTGTGAAGACCTTTGTGTACCGACCAGGAACTTGTGAATATACAGTAACAATTAACCTTGGTTCGCAGCTAAACTGAAGCGGTTACGTCATTCCAAAGAGGAAACCTACAGAAAATGTGACAGAATGCTGTACAATCAAGCCAGAAATGTATTAACAAGGGAATCAAAAAGAAGCTGCTCTGAAAAGCTAAAGAATTAGTTCTTAAGAATTGAATCCACAGCAAACATGTGGAAAACTCTTATAAATATCACCGGTTATGGCAAACCTCCTTTCCAGACTGAAGGAAATCAACAGGTGACCTGAATGTGTTTTACTGCAGGTTCGAAAGGAAACTACAGCTACCTATCTCCACAACCCCTATCCCAGACACACCAACAAACCCCCTACAACTGACCCCATCCCATTGGGTTCACAACCCCTGGTGACCACAGAAAATGAAGTGCAAGATCTATTTCAGAGACAGAAGCCAGAATGAGCATCAGGCCCAGACAAGATGACTCCTTCTTGCTTAAATGTGCTGACCAATTGGCCCCCATCTTCACGCGAATCTTCAATAAATCCCTAGAGATGTGCTACGCTCCTTCCTGCTTCAAACACTCTACTATAACCTCAGTGCCGAAGAAGCCCACCATCAAGGAACTGAATGACTACAGACCAGCTGCTCTAACATCTGTAGTTATGAAAACCTTTGAAAGGCTAGTGATGTCCCACTTGAAAGCCATCACAGATCCGCTGTTAGATCCCCTGCAATTTGCATACTGAGCAAATAGATCGACAGATGATGCTCGGCACTACATCCTACAATATCTTGAATCTCCAAAGATCTATGCAAGGGTCCTCTTTGTAGACTTCAGTTCAGCATTCAATATCTTCATACTGGACATTCTTGTAACTAAACTAAATCAGCTAGCAGTACCTGAACAAACTTGTAAGTGGATCACAAGCTTCCTAACAGACAGGAAGCAGCAGGTCAAGCGAGGCAAAATCACACCAGATACCTGTATAATTAGCACAGGAGCCCCCGCCAGGCTGCATCTCAAATGATCCATCTGTTAACACTACTGAAGTTTGCAGATGATACAACAGGGATTGGTCTCATTGGAGACAATGATGAAACCGCATACAGACAGGAGGTTGAACAACTACCCTCGTGGTGTGACCGGAACACACTCAAAACCGTAGAAATGGTGGAAGACTTTAGGAGAAACTCTACCATACTACCACCTCCTACAATATTAGACAACACAGTATCAACAGTAGCAATAGCAATAGCAATAGCAGTTAGACTTATATCCCGCTTCATAGGGCTTTCAGCCCTCTCTAAG